GTTTAAACTCTCCTCCCTGGATGTTACCCATGCTACCCTGGTGGATAAATTCTGGCATTTTGGTGGCAATGAGCGAAGCCAGAGATTCATCAAGCGCTGTATTCAGACCTTCCCCTCCTTCTGTCTTCTGGGGCCTGAGGGGAGCCCTGTGTGCTGGAACCTGATGGACCAGACAGGAGAGATACGAATGGGGGCCACCCTGCCTGAGTACCGGGGCCAGGGTCTAATATCCCATATGTTGTTTGTCACTACCCAGGCTTTGGATAAACTTGGCTTTCCTGTATATAACCATACAGACAAAGCCAACAGTATCATACAGAAAACCAGTCATAATCTGCACCATGTCCGCTTGCCCTGTGACTGGAACCAGTGGCAATGTGTGCCTCTTTGAAGCAGCCCTGAACACAAGACAGTGTTGAGTGGTTGGTCCTACAGCAGGAGAAACATGTGGATGGATGCAAAGAAAAAAGGAATGATGATCAGCAATAAAGCAGTTCATGTTTTGTGAGCTCTGTAGAAGCAGTGTGGGTGGTCAAGAGGACTGACACAGTCCTGGCTCATGAATTTCCCCTGGGTCCAGCAGACCTGGAATAGACAGAATTTGCTGTAGTGAACCCTGATCTTGTTCTGTTTCCTACACTTCTGGATCTCAGTGATACTCTTTATTAAACTGCACACTGCCCTAACACTTCTCCTGGTCTCCTATCTCCATGTGGATTGTTGTTGTCAATGGGGAAATTGGACATGTACATTGCAAAAAAAAGAAAAGAAAAGAAAGTAGGCCACCTTTATACCCTACACAAGAATAAATGGATCAAAGATCTAAATGTTAGACCTGAAACCACAAAAATCCTAGAAGAAAACATAAGCAGTAATATCTTGGACATTTCTCATAGCATTATATTTTCTGATATATCTCCTAGGGCAAGGGAAATAAAAGAGAAAAGTTAATGTGACTATATAAAACTTAAAAGTTTTGGACAACAAAGGAAACCATCAGCAAAAGGTAAAGACAACCCACTGAATAAGAGAACTTATTTGTGTATACATCTGATAAGAGGTTAATATCCAAAATTTATAAAGAACTTATAAAACTCAACACCAATCAAACAATCTAGTTAAGAAATAAGCAAAGGACCTGAACAGGCACTTCTCCAAAGAGGACAAGCATGGCCATTAGATATATGAAAAGATACTCAACATTACTAATCACCAGAGAAATGCAAATTAAAACCACAATGGGATATCACTTCACCCCTGTCAGAATGGCTATTATCAATAAATCAACAAATAACACATTTTGGTGAAGATGTGGATAAAGGCAAACCCTTGTGCACTTTTGAATGGAATGCAGATTAATGCAGCCATTTTGAAAAGCAGTATGGAGTAAGCTCAAAAAATTAAAAATGGAACTGCTTCATGACCCAAGATTTCACTTCCAGGAGTTTATCTGAAGAAACCAGAAACACTAGTTTTTTTAAAATAAATATTGTTGAAAGTCTTACATATGTCTCATTTTTCCCCCCATTGACACCATCTAGCCCACCACTACCCCCCACCCGAGGCCTTCACCACCCTATTGTCTGTGTCCATAGGTTATGCATATATGCATACAAAATCTTCAGTTGATTACCTCCCACCCACGCACATTCTCCCTTCTTCCCTCCAAGATTCTGCACTCTATTCTATGCTTCCATGTCTCTGGATCCGCTATGTGCATCAGTTTATTTTGTTAATTATATTCCACATATGAGTGAGATCATGTGATACTTGTCTTTCTCTGACTGACTTATTTCACTTAGCATGATACTGTCCAGGTCCCTCCATGCTGTCTCAAAGGGTAAGACATTCTTTTTTTTCTACTGCTGCATAGTATTCCATGGTATAAATGTACCATGGCTTTTTTATCCACTCATTAACTGATGGGCATCTACTGATCTTAGTTATTGTAAATTGTGCTACTATGAATATAGGAGTGCATACATTCTCTGAAACACTAATTTGAAAGAATATATGCACCTTTCTTTTTATTATAGCACTATTTACAATAGCCAAGATTTAGAAGCAGCCCAAGTACCCATTAGTAGATGAGTGAATAAAAAAAGCTATGTCACACACAATAGAATACTACTTAGCCGTAAAAAAAAGAAAGAAATCTTACCTTTTGCAACAGCATGGATGGACCTGGAGAATATTATTGTAAGTAAAATAATTCAATCAGAGAAAACACATATCATAAGATTCCACTTAAAGGTGGATTCTAATGAACAAAATAAACTAACAAACAAAATAGAAACAGACTCATAGCTGTCAGAGGAGAGGCAGTAGGGAGGCTGGGTAAAACAGGTAAAAGAATTAAGCAAAAAAAAATTCATAGACAGAAAACAATAGTCATTCCCAGAAGGAAATGTGGATAGGGGAACTTAGAGAGGGTTAATGGGCGATAAATGATGATTGAAAAAGACATAGAGACACAACGTGGAATAGTGAACACACAATACAATATATAGATAATGTATTTAGATTTGTACAACAAAAACTTATACAATTTTATTAACTAACATAACCCCAATAAATTCAATAAAAAATAAAATTAAAAATAATAATGAATCTTAACAAATATTTAAGTGTTTAGCACAGTATTGTTGTCTATATGCACAATGTTATACAACAGATCTCTGGAACTTTTTCATCTTGCATAACAGACATACTTTGCCCTTTAAGCAAGTCATTATGCTTCCCCCTCCCCAGCTCCCAGTAAGTACCACTCTATCCTCAGCTTCTATGAGCATCATTACTTTAGATACCTCATTTAAATGGAATCATACAATCTTTGTCCTTCTGTGACTGGCTTATTTATTTAGCATAATGTCCTGAAGTTTCACCTATATTGTCACATATGGCAGGATTTTCCTCTTTTTCAAAGACTGAAATATATATATATATATCAGTAGACCACATTTTCTTGATCAAGTCATCTGTTGAGAGACACTTAGGTTGCTTCCACTTCTTGGCTATTGTGAATAAGGCTGCAATGAACATGAGAGTGAAGAAAGCCATTCAAGGTCCTGATTTCAATTCCTGTGAATATATTCCCAGAAGTGGGATAGCTGGGTAATAAGATAGGTGTACTTTTTTGTGTGGAATTCTCATATTGATTATAACAGTAGCTACACTATTTTACACTCCTATCACTAGTGCACAGAAGTCCCAATTTCTCCATATCTTTGTCACACTTGTTAGTTTCTGTCCCCTCAAAACTGAGCACAGGAAGAATTCAAAGCCCTACCAAGTAGGTATTATTATGTACTGCTCTTTATATATATACAGAAAAAGAGCACAAAAGATGAAAAAGTCTGTCCAAGGTCATATCATAGGTAAGTAATGCAGTCAGGATCTTAATCCTGTTAGTTTGGCCCCATTGTTATCTCTGAGCCACTATGCTAGGCTGCTTCTATCATCATTGCCAGCACCTCACTCCATTACCCAGGGAAAAACACAGAGATGAAGACTGACACCAGAGTTCCTGAACCCCTTTCCTTGTACCTTATCCCAAAGAAGGTAAGAAAATTTACATTCATTACTTCATATAACACAGCAAGGATAAAAGCACAGAGTCAAGGAAGAGCAGAACAATGCTTGGTTATCTGGTACGAAAGCACTCTTGACAGCTGGGGAAACTACCTGGAGAGGTTGAGAAACTAGTTTAAGATACAAGGCTTGGGGGTAGAGGCCCTGGAATCTTCTGAGTGACTGAGTGCAGGTGATGGCTGACGGAGAGAGAGGACTAGGAGTCTGACTTCAGGTACTGGACACAGAAGGATCCCACTCTTTTGCTGTAATCAACTTTAGTGAGAAACAGACACTACTTGGGGCCAAGGGGCCCACTCTATTGATAGTGACAAAATAGTTTCATTGGCCTTTGGCTTTAGAGAAAGAGTAATAAATGATCATAATGACTTTAACCCAGGAGGTAAGATTGAAAATTAATAGTCTAGGAGGGACGAGACTCCTTAGAAAGGGCAGAAAAAATATATGCAAACCTGTGTTGTGCTGATCCATGGACTGAAGGAGCACTCAAGCTCTTCTTTCTCTCTGGACACCAGTTACACCTGCCTCTGCTCCTCTGATTAGAGTTACTCTTGTTGCCTCCACACTGAAACTAATGTGGTAAGCAAGGATTAATGTGATGAGGACAAGATAGAGATAGTGTCAAACTTCCCTCGTGAGTTGTTTCACACAGTGGCTTTGATATTCAAAATATCACTTCTATGAATTCCCCTTTCTTTTCTGAGGATGGTAGAGCAAGAGTTAATGTGGGGCAGTGAGCACATTGGAATGAAGAGTCTCTGGGTTTAAATTCTATCTAATTCAGCCATATTGAGCCTCTGTGTTCTTCTTTATAAAAGTGAGACTAAGCCCAGCCAGTATGGCTCCGTGGTTGAGTGTCTACCTATGAACTAGGAGATAACTGCAAGATTCCCGGTCAGGGCACAAGCCTAGGTTGTGGGCTTCATCCCTGGTGGGGTGTGTGCAGGAGTCAGCCAATCAATGATTCTCATTATTGATGTTTCTTTCTCTCCCTTTCCCTTTCTCTCTCTCAAATCAATTAAAATAACTTTTTCTTTTTTAAAAAAAGTGAAACTAAGAAGTGTTCATATTGAGTCATGTTTAGGATGCTTATCTGAAGCTTCAGAATGGTCAGTGGAGATGGCAGTGCTTACACTAAAAAAGGACAGTTTTAGTCTCTCCATACATGTGATATTCTGTTCTGCATATGTGTAAGAAAATAGACCAGATTCTATAAATCAGATTTCATCTATATCTTTCCTACAATCTTGCTCTTATTGAAAATGAGAAGAGAAGAAAGAAAGTATTGTCTACACAGTCTTACTCTCCTACCAGTATCTGGCCTGGTAGTTTCACACGCATTGTAGTGTCATAGCAGGGCCTGTGGGGGCAAAGAGCAACCTGGCATTTGTTGGGGGTAGCTCAGATGGCACACTGTCAGCCTCTGAATCTTGCAGAGCCAGCTCCTTCACCCTGAACCCAGAGAGGAAGGGTTGGATTTCATGAGAGCTGACACCATAAGGTTTTGCTTTGTGCACTGTCCACCTTGCAAGCCCCAGCTCAGCAATTTCTGGAGGAGACATACTGAAATGCACTCTGTTAGATCCTGTTGAACTGCCTGCATTGAAAGGTAATTGCATCATGGGGAAGTCTTCCATTCTCATTTGTCTCTGGGGACACCTGTGAAGATTGGTGTGGAGACAGCGCCCCAGGTAAGAACTTGTGCTTCTCTCCTCCCCAACAAAAGATAGGCATTGATTTTGAAATCCTCTCCACTTAAGTGACACAAATCAAATGCTCCTATTGTGTTATGCTCAGTAACTCCATATACCAAAGGAAAATACATGTGGCACCTACTCTGTAAAAGCAACTTGTTAGGCACTATGAGCATTTTCTTGCAGGTTTCGGATCTGAACTGATAAATGAATGAGGAGAGAGTTGGGCACATTCTGGAAGCAGGTGGGTGAGTAAAGCACTTACGTTAGAGACACTGCAAATATCACTATATCTAATCCTCCTGGTTATAACTTTTTTGTTTAGAAGTTTAAAGGTCAATAAAGTGTTGGCATAACCTGATGACAGAGCCATGTCCTTGAACATAGGACCCAGGGGGAGGTTCTCCATCTCACACTCTGCTGCCTGAAGATTCCACAGCGTGCTTCACGGGTTCTATTAAGAACCTCAGCTCACCAGTTGGGGGAAGAATCAGATCAAAGTACATTTTTCAAGATCACTATACTCAGAGGACATATTTCATCTTCTGGAATAATCTGCTACTTCTTGTCTTTTCCTGAGGATCTCTGCAGAGACTGAATGAGAGAACAGCTTTGCAGGTGAGAACAAGGGAGAATCATTGCTCTGGGACCCCTCATCTCCTTTTGCTTCCCCTCTGGAGGGGAATGATTCAGAATGCTACTGCTGGGTGTTCATGAAAATTTATGGTTCATTTATGTTGAGAATTCTGTAGGGGAAAAGAAAGCATTTCCATTTGAGGAACCTGTATTAGGAACCTAGGATATATAGGGCAGTACCCTAGTTCTGTGAGAAATTCTTGACTGACTGAAGTCAGGCTTTTGCTTTGGATTGGTAAATAAATGTGAGAAGAATTGGGAACTTGCCATTGGTTGCGCAGAAAATGTAACAGCCCTTGGGAAGGAATATGCTGATTCAGGTGACATTTATATAGCAGTTTTTAGACATACTATACAAACGTTATCTTCTTTAATCCTTGGTAACATTCTAAGATAATCAGTTTTTTTCCCTTGGATAAATAATGACTAGGAAAATTAATTTCCCTGCTTAAAATTTCAAAAGGAGAAGGTATAGTCTAGTGCAAGGACTAAAATGCAGATGAGATTAATTGCTAACTTAAAATCATAGAAAATAAATGTAATGTTAGTAATCTCAGCTGCACTGTAATTTTCCTAACTTTTTCATGTTCATTTTAAGACTCTCCTATTTGGCACATAAATATCATAACTTTCATGTGAATGGGTCTTATAGTAGTAAAATAATGATGGTCATTCCTTATGTAAATTATCTTTATAAAGAGAAACAACTTGTGTGCGGTACTTACCCATCTGTTAATATTAATTCAGAAAAGTTCATGGACATCAAAAGTAGAAAAAGGGTGAACCTTAAATGTTCACTAAAGTAGGTAGATAAATGAATCTAGACAGCAGTGACTTTCTCCTGATATTTACAGGGGTTTGCAAATCCAAGTTTTAACACAATTGGAGCCTCATAAGAATACTTTTCTCCATAGTTCCTAACAGAGAGAGTTAGCCTATACTTCCCAGGAATATGGCAACTAACACCATCCTCCTCCCCAGTTCCCCGTGAGAACCCTATAAACTTCCACTTAGAAGTAATGGCTCCCTCTTGTGAAATCTCATAGAGTTTAGGCAAAACTCTTGATTTTCCTTGTCCACCACTTTTAGTCAGCATGCTTGATCCAATCATCTTGAGAATTCCAGTTTGATGCAGTAAATCAAAACAGACAAATGCTCTTCATATTATGTAGTAACTAGAGGCCCAGTGCACAAAAATTTGTGCCAGGTAGGGTCCCTAGCTGCTGCCGGCTGCCAGCCGGGGCCTTCCTTCTTTCCTCACTGCCCCCTCGTGGTCAGTGCACATCATAGCAAGCGATCGAACTCCGGGTCAGTCATACTCCTGGGGCAACACTTTACATATTAGACTTTTATTTATATAGATTATTGACTATATTCCATATTTAATATCTTACATCAAATGACTATTTTATAACAGGAAGTTCGT